TCGGGTGCGTCCGCCGCCTCCCGTTTTAACGTAAGACGTACCACTGATTTAGGGAGTAGCTCTGGCTTTCTGCTCCCCCGGGAGAACTGCTGAAATAGAGTTGTGAGTTTGTGCGTCGTGTTTCCAGGGAAACCCTACTGCCAGGCTTTTTAGAATAGCCAGACTCAGCTACAAGCAAGATTTCAGCCGCTACAGAGGCATAGCCTTACCTGAGCTCAGTCGCACAACAGGGATTTTTAAATTTATTTTCCATATTTTTTTGCCTTTTTTTTTTGTTTTATACAAGATGCTTACCAAACTTTGGTTGCTAAGTATCTTTAACTGTGGTTACCCAATTATCTGCTCCACATCTTCATCCCACCCCTAGGCTAGGATTCTTATTTCAAACCTATACCTGTCTCCACTTTCCTGCTGCATAGCCCAGCTACCCACAGCTGCGGTTATAAGCCGAACTCCCATCTGCTTAGCTGCCTTTGCATTGGGAATCTGCACCCACAGGCCAGGATTTAGCCACATACCCTCAGCCACATTAACAACTTGGTTGCCTAAGTCTATATTGATGTCGTAGTGATTTTTTTTTCTTTTCCTTTAAGGACTGCCTCTCACTTAAGTAGAATTCTAGGATCTCGTGTTTGAAAATTTGCTACCACTTTATTTTCCCAGTAATACCAAACATGAAGGATGTTTATGGGCATTTTGTTTCCTCAGAACTTTAGAGGCCACCCTTGTCTGAATTTGTTCCTCATTATCTGGCATGGATGGACTTAATGAGGCAGCAACTTTTTTTAGTGACCAGACAAGAAAGGAGTAGGTAGTCACGTACTAAAGCTACAGGAACAGCAATGTTGTCTCGGGCCCCATCAGAACAGGAAATGTGCTGCCTCAGGGCTGGTCTGGTGCAGTCTGCCAGGGGTTTAATAGGCTACTTTTCTGGTGACTTCTCTGCTGTGTACAGCTGGTAGATTAGCACTTCAAGAGGTTTCTAAAAGAACTTTACTTTTATGCAATGTGCTAGTCTTGAGTTAATAGAACTGCACCATCATTTTTTACTGTTGCAGACTTTATGTGTGCGCTTTCTGTTGAACTCAATTTGGCATGTACGATATTTTTCTGTTGCCTGAAAGCTAAATTTTTACACCTAGATTGTGGGAATTCCTGAGGCTACCTCACTTTGTCTTACATACATTCAGCTTATTATATGCATCTGTTAAACTGCTTTCTGGACAGCATTTATTGTATTCTAGAATCTTTGTTTTGTTGTGGTTTTAGATGCTGCACTTGGGTGAAGCACCTTCCGATAAAAAGACTTCAAAAAATAAAAAGACTTTGAGAACTTCATTTCTTCCCACTGTTTTGCCTTCATCAGTCACATCTGATATGTCACGAGCACAGAATAAACTATTGACATACCGAAGATGTAAGGAACAGCGAAAGATGCTTAATCAGTTACTGTGAGTTTCATGTAATTCAAGAAATGTTGAAATTCGCATGAAAGAAACATTGCACATTTGGCATCTGAGAAATAATAACGCTTGTTAATTTTAGAGGGTTTTGATGTCACTCTTGTGGTACTGAACACTTTCCATCTAAAATCATTAATAATAGAAGAACATTTGATGGAAACTCTGATGTTTTTTCTTTTACAGCACCCAAAATCTACTTGAGGTATGTTTGTTGGGGTGGATTGTGAGGAGAAAGTGACCTTCACATTTTGAACGTGGTTTATGATAGACTGAAAAAAAACCCTTTCTCTTTATGAAAACTTTTCCAGAGAGGATCAAAGTCTGGATTACTGGATTGCTTCTGTTTGAATGATCCAAACTTGGGTCTAGTTCTAATGGGCTTCTTTGTCACTTTCTTAATGCATTTGCTGCTGAGTTTAGTGATCTGTGTCACTGCTAGAGGAGCACAGCTGCCAAGGTGATTAGTAAATTCATATGAAATTGTCTTTCAAGGTTTTCATTTGCAAAGGAGGAAAGACAATAAGGAAAGACTCCTTTCATGTAATTGTTGCAGGTCTAATTGAAAAATAAGGGGATTTTAAGTTATTTTGATGGAAATTTATTCCTGAAATACCTACATTATTTTCTGGAACTTACTGAAGAATCCTTAGACATGTTTATTATCTTAGCATAATTATGAGAACTAAGACTGCATTATTTATAGTTTATAGTTGCATTGTTTATGGCCAAGGTTGCATTGCAGTACATAGGATAGTAGTATCATGAAATATATAGCAACTTGCGTTTTCCTGTTAAAGATTAAAAAGGAAATCTGATGGTATCTGATAGGATTAAAAAGCAGAGAAAAAAAATGTTTTGGCCTGCAGAAGGATAAATGGACATTAAGGACCTAAATACATTTAACGCATTTTAAATATTGTCACCAATACTGGCAGTTTTATTTTTATTCTTGTGAATTTTTAGGGATTCCATTTGCTGTGACTAGCTTTGGTGATAATAACCAGTTACTTAACTAATTCCACTTCATTGGCTAAATTTTGAAGTGGCCAGATATTACAAGGTGTTTTTTGTCGAAAGATACTTGTATGTGTTCCAAATTGTTGGCTTCACTGGAGCTGGGCAGTGGTATAGAACTAAATTGCAGGATCAAAATCTGAGCAGATTTGATCACAGAAGGGAATCTGATTGTGTCAAAGATAAGTGTGTGTGGGGAGGATTTTTATTCTTTCTAAACAATGGTAGCAACAATCAGTTATAGAAAGCAGTTAATCTATATAGAAGTTAAAAGCAGAGAAGGATGTTTCCTTTCTTGTAATATTTTAAAAGCTGTTATAATACAAATCTAACAAACACGAAGTCTCTCCATGTTAGCACCCTTTCAATGCTCTCTGCAGTAGCAGAGTGCAGGTTTTAGAATGCAGTTGTTCAGTATGCCAAAAATGTCAACTATGTTGTAGTTAAAACTTCCTGTGCGGTAAGATGACTGCTGACCAACCATTCTGACAAACAGTGAATAAAGCTCTACTGGAACATGGATTCAGCAAACTGACTTTTAAATAAGGTCTCATGAAGTAATGGCTTGAGTGTATACGTGAAACTAGCAGTATAACTTCCTCTTGGGAGTCCTTAGCTGAGTTAGTGAGATAAGGCTGAATTAGGCTTTGCAAGATATGTACAGAGTGTGTCCCAGAAGGACAGACTGAAATGTTTTGCTGCCTGACGTAAGCAGGACGTGCCAACATTGAGCATCTGAAGTTTTCTTGAGAGTTATTTAGCGATTTATAACCACAGGCAGTAAAAAAGAGCTGGTCTTAAACAGCTTGAGGAGTTTTGTTCTGTACTTTTTTTTTTCTTTCTTTCATAATACGGTTGGACAAGATCTATTATAGTTGTTTGAGGAGAAGATATCATCCTAACAGGAGCACTGGGCAATCAGATGAGGTCAATCGAGGCGTGTCTATATTGTGATTGTGGTCAAGATTAATGTGCCTCTGTGTAAGAGAATACAAAGATAACTTTATCGTTTAGTGATCAAAGAGTTGGTAAACATGAAAAAAACAAATTGCATCAATTAAAAATAAAAGCATTATTTTAAATACATTATTTGTAGTTTTTTGCACTTCTGACTCTGTGTTTTACTTTAGAATTGATCAAGCTTTAAAAGCCTATCACATATCCATAGAAGAAAAACATCACAGAGATCCTGTACCTCCTGTTCCAGAACTGCCTTCCACTGTGAGAAAGTATTTCTTTTATACTTTAACTGTTGCCTGTTTTGTTCTTTGTTATTGCGGCATTTATGCCTCTTACTTCTTAGTATTTTCTTAAAGATACTTATTTCAATGCTTAGTAATTAATAAGTGTATTTATATGCTCAAGTAATTCAATTGAAATTTATACCTGTATATCTACAGAATAGTATTTGCTGAATTTTATATTTTGATTTATTTATTGTTGTTTGTATATTCTTAATACATTAGAATTTTTTATTCCTTTTTATACAGATGAACAGTGAACACAAACAACAAAGAGTGAGTTAATTTCTTTTTTTTCTGCTTTTTTTAGAGTACAAGAGTGAATGGTCTCTCTTCAGGGAGGTTGAATATGTTATGTGAAATTAATGGTGACTAACTAGGAGAAGCTTAGTCTTGTTGGGGAAAATGGAATAGGAAGCAAGAGGATTTTTTTCTTGTGGTCCAATAGAAGGAAAGGATTTTTCTGTTATAGAAAGTATGTCCATCAGTAGTCTAAGTTTTGATATAAACCTTAGTTAAAGATCATTACTTGGAAAAAATTCTAGCAGGCTTCAGGATTTTTTTCAGTTGAGATCTTAGATCATACATTATCCTGTACAAAAAGTAGTCTTTGATGTTATTCGCCTGATTTGAAGAACATGTGCAAATCTTGGTATTTTTGTGTAGCTTTTAAAGTAAGACTTTATCTCTGAGAGCCATTGTAAACTCAAATTTGTGCTGAAGTACTTAAGTAGCTTAAGGGAACATCTGTTTTTCTTAGCTAATGTTAGATAAACTCATTCTGAAGACTGTAGACATTCAGATTCCTCTTTGCTTTAAAACAAAGCTATTGCTCAAAAGCCTAAATACTTATTTCTTTGGTCAAAAAACCTTATCCACTAGTGCATGCTTTTTTTCCAAAGAACAATAACAGGAACCTTCAAGTGTTTTATTGTCAGTCATAAACTTCAGCGGAGAACCTAGGAAAACACCATATGAAAAAGTGCAGTATTTTCTGTTTATGCACTGAGACAGGGAGATCATTTTACCAACCATGGAGTAGCTTTTAGTGTACTAGTCAGCGAAAACTGAAAAGATTAATTATGTGGCCTGCCCTTAAGCATAAGAAATGGGCACTGAAAGAAGACTTCATTGTCAATCCTGGATATTTACACTGTCAAGCCAAAGATATTTAAATAGCCAATTATTAGACTTATAACAGTATTGTCCTTTCAGGAAAATTATCTCTTTCTGAAGAAGTGTGTGAGAAGTAATCCACTAGTTCCCATTCCGCAGCAGTGGTTGAAGGCCATTCTCTCACTGGTGCCACAGTCGTTTATGGAAGGCAGAGAGCTGTTAGCTGAAAAGGTTTTGAGGGAGATAATAAGGGATTATGAAATGAGCATGAGAAGATTTATGGGTAAGTACTAGAAACTGCACAGCACTAATATTAACATATTAATGTGCATATCTATATTATAAGCTGTTCCATGTTCTCCCACTGAAAATAATTTTTCTAGCTTGTTCTTTCAGCCAGGCATGATCTTTGTAATTAACCACAGATTTATCGTTTTCTGCCTCATCAAATGTGTACTGGCCATAACGTTTAAGGGAAAACTTACTGATTTTATTTAGGCTAGTAAGAAGTTAACCAGAAAAAGGTATAGGTTGAACAAAGGTATAGGCAGGTGTGTCTACATGAGAAAATGATTGATTGCTGGTGACCTTATTAAGTCTTTAACCTGTTTAGGTATTCTTACGTAAGAATGGATCACCGTTTTCTACTGAAGAAGGTAGAAACTACTTATGTACCTGTCGTTCCTTTTTTTGCCTCCTCAGGGACGGCAGCTTTGTTAAAGCTTTATCCACAAGCACATCCATAGGTTTTCTGATGCTATTTTCTTTCTATGCATGAGGAAGCTTGCAATAAAAGTCAAAGACCACTATCTGTTTTCAGATATCACTCACTTTGATTCTTTTAAACTTTTTTTAAAGAGTCATGAGCTGGAATTTTGAAAGTGTATTCCTTTGAAATCATGTATTCATGATTTTTTTATTTACAATTGTAGTATTTGAAACTGAACAAAATTTTGCCAATATTTTGGTGGATGGCTGATCATGTTTAAAAATGCAGATTAACAAGATACACAATGTAACGTTGGGCTACCTTCTTTATAATGTCGTCAGTGGAATAGTTATAGTATCCTACTATGACTGTGCTAAACGAAATTAGGATTAATACTTAGAATCATAGAATATCTCAAGTTGGAAGGGACCCATAAGGATTGTTGAGTCCTACTCCCTGCTTCTTGCAGGACTAGCGGAAGCTAAACCGTGTGTCTAAGAGCATCATCCAGGTGCTCTGTGAGCTCCGTGAACAGGCTTGGTGCTGTGACCCCTTCCCTAGGGAGCCTGTACCAGTAACCAACCATCCTCTCCGTGAAGAAATTACTTAAAAAAATTACTTAATTATTTAAACACTGGTCTATCTGAAAACCATCTTGAGCAGGGGACGGAACTGGAATTAAGCTGCCTGAATCTCCATAGATATTCAGTAGAAGCTGTGATTTTGAGTTACATTTGTGAGAATGTGTTTTGAAGACTTGGATGATACAGTCACCTTTCTACCCTACTGTGTGCTTGGGTCAGTGCCAGTTGAACAGAGATCAGTATCTTCTTCCAATGTTCATGTGTTTATTTTTCCCTAGTGCGAAATGTTCTTAGTAAACCAGACGTAAAAGGACTTGAAGATGAAGAAGAGGCACCTTTGCCATCATTACCTCTGTGAGTTCATTAAACTAGCAAAGAAGCCACAGGAAATACACACTCAGGTGCACAAGTGGAATTCTCATTGAGCTGCATGAACAGAGTTATGGCACAATATCAGTTCTGGAGTCCCTTAATGAGACATTTTTTTCTGTCTGTAGAGGATCTTACAGTTGAACATTTATATCTGAATGCTTTGCAAAGTTTTAGCACTGACAGTGTTTTATTACTTACAACTACATAGAGTAGCACTGATGGCTGCAAATGAGACTTCTGGCTCTGAGTGCCCCGATAATAAATTCATACTGCAGCCGCCTCTGCAATGAACTGCATGTGTGTGGGGCAGTTCACTGGCAGACAGCAGTGTTGTGCAGTACTTCAACATGATAAAATTGCGTCTGATGCCAAAGTTTCATACGACTTTGGATTTATGAAGTGAAACTTTGAGACCGATTGCAAGGCTATTGGCTCTGCCAAAACAGAAGAGCAGTTCAGTTAGACAGAATACAATTATCTGAATTGCACAATTTGCTGAAGCATCTGAATATTGATGAAAAATACTCACTGGTAGCTGTTGGTGAAGTTAGAAGCTTAAACTGAAAGAGCTTCAGGAAGGGGAGGTAGTCTGAAAATTAGTATAAAACATGGTTGATGAGACAGATGATTTTTATGGCTTCTACAGTATTGTATTGAGGGTATTGTGTGGGACTTAACTATTCATGTTAGAGAATAAGGGGTGTTTTATACTACTTTCTATACATGAGTGTTTTATTCAAGTATTCCTAACTTTTTGTTGTCTTTGGTTGGTTTGTTCGATTTTTTTGGGGTTTCTTTGTTTTTTTTTTTAATTTGTTTGTTTTGTTTTTCAGAGGCCTAGACTTTTCTAGACCATGGCATAATAGTTTTATCCAAGCGAAAAAAAAAATCGTTTCCAGCTTGCACATTCTCCACCCCACAATGAGAGAACTACTGGATTTTGGTTATGCAGCATTATCTGATGTACTTATAGTGGATTTTTCAAGTTTCAGGTAAAGACTGTTTTGATAAATTATTAATCTGTATAGGGTTTTGAAGCTGGTAAAGAAGTATTTGTTCAATTCTGCTATTTATCGTAGGGTTTTTTGTATAATAAGTTTCTTCAACATGTCATTTAATGTTGAGTAGGTTACTTTGTGTTATATCATGTTTAATTTTTCTTCTCTCTGCTACATGTAAATATTTTTATCTGTGTTTTAATTGCTGATAGTATTATCCCTTTTGATTTATGTTTTGCCTTTAATTATGTAAAAGTCTCCTCATTATTTAATCATAATGCCATGATCCCCATAGAAATCTGGCTGAAGTAACATTTGAAAAATTGACTTCTAGTAAAATTACTATTTGTATGGAATTCTAAACTAACTCTAAAGATCAGATTTCTTGCTGGTTTTCATCGGTTACATTTTATTTTTAATCTTGGAACATTTAATTTTTGTAATTTTCACAAAGAAAATTTTCAATATCTTTTTCCTCATTTTTTTCTGGTAACTGTTCTTTATTTCTTGGGGCTTGGGATATTTTTTTTCCTCATTTAAGTCTACAGAAGTGATACTAAGGCTTCCACTGTGCTTTCTGCTAAAAAACATAAAAGGAGGGGGTGGGTAAAAGGAGGGCTGTAATTACAGTATAGATTACTGTTACTTTACTCCGTGGTTTTTTTTGATTTTATTTATAAAGTTGCCTCTGACTTTCTTTTTTTAGATTGAAAGGACCAATTGACTGTGAATCTTGGAAGACCGATGTCTCTTTAAGCTGTTCTAAAGCAGAAGTGAACATACTGAATACGTGGTATCAGAGAGTTGTCAGTCTCTTTAGTCAGACAAAGGCATTGGATGGTATAAAGCTGGATCAGACTGACTCTTTTTATAACTCTGTGGCTGTGATTATGTCTAATCAGGTAAAAATCTTTCCTCTCCAGGATAAACTTTATGTGAAATTTAGGTAATTTTAATAAGTCAGCACATTATGTGATACAGGGCCTGTTCAGTCATTGTTAGCCATTTGTTATATATAATCCAGTAAAGTATTCAAAGTGTTAAACATCTTCCCTTATTTAAAATAAATATATGATCTTGTCTAGTTCTTCTAATTTTTTTTTTATATGCAGAAAAAGTTGATTCAATCTACCAACTAGAATGTAGTTAAAGGTTAAAGAAAGAAGTATCTCAGTGTTCTAGAGAGTCTTCCTATCACTGATCCTGTCACTACAATTACATGTCATATACTGGCAAAATGAATAAAACCTGGTCTCTCTCCCTTGTAAACAAACATACACAAGTAGACTGAAAGTCCAGCTCTGCCAACATGTATACAAGTGGCTATAGTTCTGCAAAATTTTCAAACATGATTTTTTTCTATGGAGAATGATACCACAATGCTTTGCAAGTTTTATATCAAGATGGAAGCTATGTGAACTGTTTCTCAGTTATTTTTTTGTTTGTTTTAGGAATTTTTAGTTGTTTTATTTCTTAATAAAACAAGAACATTTGAATGAAATCACTGATTTCAGACTGAGACAATAGTTTTCCAAATTTCTTAGTTTACTGTCAATTAAAAATCCTTTAACTTTGAGTTAACTTAAAGCATCTGATACTTACATAGTTCTTTGAAAGAATATAATCACCAACGGGAATATATATGTTCAGCAGCTCAACAAGGAAGTTGTTAATGGATTAAACCTCATTTGCTTCACAGAAAAATAATGGAACAATAGTCTCATCAATCATTGTCATATTAAAAAAAAAAAGTCAGAGGAAGATGCATTCCAGATATTTCTCGATATTGTTACCATAGACTTACTTTTTTAGCAAAAATAAAGTCTTGGGCTTTACTGAAATGCTTATTTACTTATTCACTAGTTTGCATCCAGTAAAGGTTGGGACTAATACCCACTGAATTCATTAGAAAAATTCACACTACTTCAGTTATCCATGAATCAGGCCAAAAGTACTAAAATGAATGGAAATTCTGGCTTAATGAATGAAGGAAGAGTGGGATGGGACTTTCTGTTCTTTCAACGAATTGGTGTTAATATGTTATGACTTAGGTGAAAGAATTATTGAGAAGAGCAGTTGAAGCTTTTGTGAAACTTTTTGATCCTCAAGACAGATGTCGCCTACCTTTGTTTAAGATGGAATTGACTCTTGATGAAAAGAGAATGGAGTTTCATCCAAGCTTTCAAGACCTGGAAGAAGCAATTCTGTTTGTAGTAAATCGTATAGGACAGACTCTCCAGGTGTGATTTTGTCTTTGTTTACATATATAACTGCCAAGTTGCTCAGTATGTGAAAATATTAGTAATTGAGGACTCTGACTACCATGGTAATGGGAAGCAGAATGCAGCTTCAGTTATTTATTTCCATGAACATTCTGCAGGTCACACCAGGCTGTGAAACTCATTATGATATACTCTGTGAGCAAAAAAAAAAAAAGGTACACCTGCTACTGATTGTTTTAGCCTGCTGTTTTAATCTGCACGTCTGTGTGTATGTCTACAAATTAGTTGTCTGCCAGTTTGTTAAATAGAAGTCAGGCTGAAAACTTCCCCAGGAAAGAAAACTAGCTAGAAGTTAACTTTTTTGTTTTCTTCCTTGGTATGTTTAGAAAACCTGATAGTGCTTTAAGGATAAGTAACCACATGTTCTAATTTATTTATCTGTTTATTTTAAACATTGAAAATCAAGTAGGTTTGCAGTGCATACTTTTTGTGAGCTAACATTTTGCACAGAAATGTAATTAGCACTTTAGTTTTATATGTGATGACTTACAGTGAACATGCATTAATAATTAAGATTCCTAGGAAAGGAAAATTAGAGTTGATGTTCTTTTTCTTTCTATGAAAAAAAAAAGCTTCAGATCTCTAACAACTCATATACATGCAATATCCAAAGGTTTATGTCTTAGGAACCAATCTGTGACTCCTGGGGAGACAGCCTTTCTGGGGGCTTTAGGTATATGCCAGTGCACTGAGCATTGGCCTTTAATCATATGTGATGGTACTTTCAGAGAAACATTTTGATTTTTTAGTGGTTTTTTAACCTGTACATAGGATAGAAATTAATGTTATGTAAGATTAAATCATTATTTTTTGTCTGTTCTACATGTTTCCTGTTAAATTTCAGGAAGAGTTGTGTATGAAGCACCTGGACTTGGTACAGTTAGGGTCTAGTACTTTTCTGATACAGTGTCTTCTGCGGATTGCAACTTAGTTTTAAGACATGTGTGTCCTTGTATCGCTTTTTGAATTTTAAATAATCAGAACTTGCACTTCTATTAGAACATCCAAACAGTACATTCTTGGCGAATGGGAGACACTAAAACTCTGGACACTGAGCTTCCGAATGATGTCGTATTATGGGCCACATCTACACTGAAAAAATCTATCGCAGACAACTTAGAAGGTCCAAAGGTATACTTTGAAAACTATGGTGAGTGGTAGAAAAGTGTGTAAGTAACTATGTTACTCCTTTGTAGTAATTTGTTGTAGAGTGTAGGTGTGATAATCATATTGATACAGTGTAATTGAATTGTAGTTGAACGGTATGGCTGGCTTGTAGATGGAACTGCACAGGCACGAATGGAAAAATTTGAAGCGGAAGAACACAGTTTTGATGAATATACTGCTGTAAGTTTTAATTCTACATTTTATATGTAATTTTTACTGTATGTACAGCAATAATAAAAAGGGGACAGAGGATAACAGGTGCTTAGCCTTTAGCTAAAAATTGTATTTACTCTCTACAAATCTATAAGATAAGTATTTTTTCTCCTAGAAGTCTGTGGTAAATAGAAAAAAGGTATTACCTATTTTCTTCAATGTGTAATGCTTTTTCATGTAGCCAACTATTTAAACAACAGCTCTGAAATGTAAAATGTAATGTTTTTCTGAAGCTTATAGATGAATTCTTCAACCACAAGAAGGAAATCTTGAGTTTATCTACGGTGGCTGATTTCCCTATGATCTGCTTGAATAGTGAGGATTTAAAGCAAGGCTTGGCTGGTAATGCAGAGGGCTTTGCAGAAATACTAATAGACAGAATAGTTACAAATTACAGAAAGGAAAATGAAAAGTAAGTAGAATTTTCAGCTTGTGAATGCTATATATGTTAAGTGCAAAACAAATCCAAACAAATCAAATTATTGCAAGTTAATGAACAGTAATTTTTCTAGACTGACTTGGTCATATTCTCTAGTTTCATAAAGCAATAGAGTTTGTGTGTTGGAAATACTGAAAGGAGTATTTCGGACTTTTAATTCCATTAAATCTGAGCTTGAAGCCAGTCAAACTAAAATCTTAATATTCTTATTTTTTTTTTAAACTAAACTTGTAGGATATGCAGGGAGTATGAAACAATTAAGGAACGTGCCTTGAAAGTTCCTGAGACAACAGAAGAAATGGTGGAAACAATAGCTTACGTAAAGAAAGTCAAAACCAAAGGTGTGCAGGACCTGTCATTAAGGGTCAAGGTAAATGACTGTCCTTTAATTCTTTTTCTTTTTAACAAGCATGCTGTCCTATACAAATACAGAATCCATTCTGGAGTGCAGAGACTTTGATCTGATCATGCTGCATGTGCAAATAAAGTGTGCACTGTGTTATTTCAGACAGAAATGGGAAGTCTGGCTCATTCTTTGCTAAATGCCTTCCCTTCTTTCATTCCCACGTGTTCTGCATGTCAGAAATGCAGCTTTTAATAAGTCAGTGCAGGTTGTGAGACACTCGGTTTATTGTTTGAACCTAGAGACTTACTTCAGAGCTGCTTAAAAAGCCATTTCTGAAGCAATTTACTCTTTGAGCAGAATATAGCTGCTGTTACAATAGCAGTAGTATTTTGTGGTGCTCCTAGAACAAAATTGAAAAATTGTGTAAGGTGTGGGTCAGCCAGAATCATAGAATAAGAAGCTCTTTGCTATATATTATGATTATACATATCAGATTTTCTGTTATGGTAATAGGTCTATAAATAGAACATGCATTTATTCTGCAGAATTTATACATTTTTTATGTTTAATAACATTAGGATTTTTGCACATAGATTTACAGGCCACGGGACTAATATTTAGAAAAATGAGCTCACAAATGAGGCAGAGATTTGAATAACTTCTTGTATGTATTTTGAATATTAATATTCAATTGGCTAAAGTAGCTCTGAATTCTGAAAAGTCTGTGAAAGGTGGACTTCTGTTTTATCTTTGTAGATAGTATTGTCCTACCCTATACTTTAAACAGACCTGTGATACCTGAAGTTTCCTGAAATCTCTGGATTTGGGTTTTTTTTTTAATTTATTTTTTTTTAGGAGTGCTGTCAGCAAATGTTGTACTTCTTGGAGTGTTTTCTCTTTACTTCTGAAGACGTTGCACTGAATGCAACAGTTATGTCATGGCCGAAGAAGATTGGCCCTATATTTGATGAGCATGATCATGTAAGAGCATTTTCTTAGTTTATGGTATATTTTGGCTTGTTAGACTTTTCACTTTATTTGAGATATTTATTTCCATGGCAGGCTAAACATATCTACACATATGACATGAACCATACTGATTTAGACATGCATAAATAACATATTTCCAGGTTTTTGGATTAGCGGACGGCTTTTTGCGGAGTAATTTAAAAAACATCATGTAACTTAAAACCTTCAGCAAGTCCCTATTATCTTAATTTGTTTGTGGACAGTTCTAGCTAATTCATAGGAAAGTGAAAATTTACTGCACTGCAGCTGACTGGTGCTCCAAATGTAACTGCCAGGCCCTTAGTAATACTTAGTGCTCTGGACAGGAAGTCATTTAGTTAAAATGATGTTCTGTTCTGTCAACAGAAGGACAGTGGGAATTTTATTTTTTAGGTAGCAATCATGAATAGAAAATAATGCAACATCTGATTTTCTCTATGTGACCGTAGATTACTTTCTTCCACTTCTCTGCATTCATCTTGCTAGCACTCTGTCTGGCAATGATACTGTAAGTCAAGCTTTTGGATTTTCTCTTGCCTCTAGTAAGTTAGTGTAGATTTAATAGTTTCTTCTAAAAGTGTTTAAGAATTAACAATTAACATATTTTTAAATAAAAATATCTTTTCAATATCACAAGTGAGGATTTCTCTTTCGCTACATCTTTAGGGAGCTTTAGGGAGCCCATGTTCTAGAATTTATGCATTTTATAGCAGTAGATACACGTGGGATAGCACTGGCTTTCAACAACTGTAGTTAACTTCTTCTGGCAATAAAACACTGATTCCCAAAGGTGAGAATCTATTTTTTTCTGGAATACTTTCCTAACTTCTGTCGGATTGCTGTAGGAGGCCTTTAAGGCAGTCGAAACTGCTATGATTATTGAAATAAGGGTTCCATGTTAACATATAGAGGTTGCACACACTCAAATGGGACATATAGAAAGCAGGTCCTGCAGAAATTTCAGTTATTGCAAGGACAATAATTTGTCTGCTTATCCATATTGTTTATTTTCTGTTTATGCTAAGTGTTTAATTCAGATTGTAGTATGTATATTAATCACTGAAAGGATTTACAACCACTTTTGTATTGCTTTTTCACTATGAAAAAACCCCTCAATTGTTTTGTAGCTGATGGAACAGTCTAAAAGGAAAGGAGAGAAAGAACTAATGCATAAACGTGAGAAACTGATGGTAGAATTAGATGATCTGTCATGTTCTGTGACGAAGTTTGAAGACTACTCAGAACAGGATTGCATGCAACAGGTTTGATTAACATTTAGTATAAAATAATTGGAAATATTTTATTTTTTTAGTACACAGAGGACATGGAAGAAACTTAGAATTAAAAATAATCAATTTTTTTAACAAAATGTGAATTTAAATGTTTATTATTCTCTTGCCACAATGAACAAACTCATAAAATGATACCTGCCTCCCTCCACCTTTTGATATTACATTGGCAAAAACACTTGACTTCTAGCAAAGTTTACTATGAAGTTGTACTTGAATTAGCTGACAGGTAATCCCAGCAAAATTGAGTGATTTTTTTAAATTCTGGTTTATATAAAGCATGGAATTCTGGCCCCAGTCACATATTTGCAAGTAACCTCAGTGGGATCAGAATTTCCTTTCCTGTTTTTTGTTACATTGAGGAACTACAGGGAAAAAATAGCAGGTTAGAAAGAGTTATTAGTAGCAACTTGATTTTTTTTTCTCTTTCTTTTTTTTCTGTGAACCTCATCTTTCTGCTAATGAAGAGCAGACCATTGGCTTGAAAACTTACCAAATTTCTATAAGTATTTTAAATTGCCAGAGCATGTCTTGTGCTTTGATTGAAGGATATCACAATTATGCTTAGTAATACTGGTTTTGAAAACACAACAATTCACAAACCTGAAATGCTAATCTAATAAATTCTGTTTGCCTTTATGGTATGTCAGGTACATAAAAATGTGTATGTCTGCCTCCTGAAACAGTGAATTTTAAAGCTCAAACATTTAAAAAATGGTTTTATATTCTTAAATTCAGTAATGATAAACTCAACTTTATTTTCTTAGTGTCCGACTGGGTTCTTCACAGTTTATCTACCCAAGGATTAGAATACAAGTTTTTAACTAGTTTTCTAAAATTCTAGTAAAGGCAAAAGTTCATTTTATTTTCATATCTTATTGTGATAGTGCTTCAGAGCATAACTTGATTATCTCTCAAGACACAATTATTTGATTTCAGTATGTGGCTGAACTGAGGGGATTACAGAAACGGATACAGGAGGCTGACGAAACAGTAGCTGTTATTAATAAAGAAGAGACTCTGCTCGAATGGAAACCAAGTGACTTCCCACTCCTCAACAACTTAAAAGTTGAGATTGAACCGTATCAGAAACTGTTTCATCTTATACTGAAGTGGCAACGAACAGAAAAAAGGTAATTCAGCTCTTGAAGCTAAATGAGGATGAGTGGGGAAAAATGTCATGCTGTTTTATGTCAGATGCAGAATATGAATTTGTTTGCTTTTAAACATATGGAAACATATCCAGCACTGGTGAGGCCTCACCTCGAGTACTGGGCACAGTTCTGGGCCCCTCACTTCAAGAAGGATATTGAGGTGCTGGAGTGAGGCCAGAGGAGAGCAACAAGGCTGGTGAAGGGACCAGAGGAAAAGTATTATAAGGAGTGTTGTTGAGCTAGAGAAGAGGAGATTCAGAGGGTACCTTATCACACTCTGCAACTACCAGAAGGGAGGTTGTAGTCAGGTGGATGTCAGGCTCCTCTCCCGGGCAACCAGTGACAGGATGAGAGGGCGTGGGCTGAAACAGTGTCAGGGGAGGTTCGGTATCGGGGAATCACGGAGAGGGTGATCAGGCATTGGAATGGACTGTCTAGGGAAGTGGTGGAGCCATCTCCACAGCAATCCAAGTACAATGATAATGTAACTTACATATCAAGGTTGCTGTTTTTAATTCAGCTAGAAAAAAATGTCTTTTTTTTTTATGTCATGAAAAGGAGTATATTGCATATTGGGTTCTATTGGTCATGCTGATGAAGCTTATAGTAAGACAAACTCTGTGGAAGAAATGTATTAGGAAGAAAAATATATTGGTTAATTATTAGCCATTTTGTAAACCAGTAAAGGAAGAAGTTCAGTTAGAAAGTCATCATCTGTGTGTAATGAAAACCTTTTTTAACCTAATGGCTGTCTAAAAGGCCAAAAAGATGTGTTCAAATGATTACATTATTGTCTTGGCTGGATCCTACCACAAAAACTAGTATGTCTGAGTCTAAACTAGGTGAGATTGCTTTACTGGTTCCTGCACGCACTGGAAGTTATAAAATGATATGGATAGAAAGTATGGATTTTTTTGAAAATACAAAGGCTCAGTGCATCTTGATGTATTATGTTGATCTCTCTCCAGACCTTAAATATTTCTCGATCCATGCAGTTACTTGGTTTCAGTATGTGACTGACTTGAGAGAATTGCACAAATACGCAGAAGGGTGTGATCAAGCCACCTTTAGCTGTACAGCAGAATTTTGCATAGAGTGACAATAATTGGAAACAAGAGCTTTGCTCTAATTTAAATAGTCTATATGTTGTTTGTGTTGCAAAACAAAGTGTTAATTTTTTGTGGATTGCTTTTGTTACTCTTTTTTAACTGGTTTTTCTCAGATGGATGGATGGTAACTTCTTGGAATTAAATGGGGAAAGCATGGCGACTGAAGTTGATGAGTTTTTGAGAGAGATACACATAGCGTCACGACTCTTCCAACAAAAGCAGAAAAAACTTCAGCAAGGGCAGAAAAAGACATCGCAGCATGGAACTGTAGAAGAGAAGACAGAAGAAGAAATAAAGGCAAACCCAACCCTTACAATGTGTTCTTCAGTTCTGGAGCAGATAAAAGTCTTTAAGGTAAGAAAATGTGAGTTTTATTAGTATTTGATGCTGAGGCACAAATAGTAAATTCAACACTCAGTATAGGTAGATGATGCAGCGTCAGAGAGTCCTGTTATTACAGAGGGAGCTCTGCATCACCAGTTCTGAGTTGTACTGTCCCATTGATTCCACTAAAATTGGCTTTGTATATTGTAGATTTAAGAATGTGAATTGTTAAAGAGTGGACACACACAGGAGAAAAGTGATTTTTGAGTGCAGAGAAATATTTAAGGTTCTAGTTGGAAATTTTGAAATGAGACTATATGTTATGTCAATATAAGCCAGATTTAACACAACATAGCTGAAAAAATGCTTATTTTCTCTTTTCTGCTAAGATTGTGCTTAATAGTTTTGTGTTTCTTCTTAGCAATTTGCTACAGTTATTTAGAAAGGGAATGAATAACTGAATGGATCCATCTACACTTTTCAGAAAATATTTTCCTGGCATCAGCTACTACAGAAGAATTTTAAATGCACATCAAAGATGATGAAAAATGTAAGAAATAATGCTTCTCATAATTTTTACCTTATAAATGTTTTTCCTCAATTAGGAGAATATTCCCACTGTGATTGTCTTTTGTAACCCTGGCATGAGAACTCGTCATTGGCAGCAGATGTCAAATATAGTAGGATATGATGTAACACCAGACTCTGGAACTACCCTGAGAAAAGTTTTAAAGCAGAATCTGACCCCTTATTTGGAAGAGTTTGAAGCAATAAGTGTAGCTGCAAGTAAGGTAAGCGTAGAGATTGGACAGTGACAAACGTGATATGTCTCTTAATTCTAGTAAGCCATAAAAGCCGTCATTATCTTTGCCCTTATGCAGCAAAAGAGATTTGATGGGACTTTGGCCCATTTGATGATAACAGTGGACATGTAAACATTTGTGTTTCATACTAAATCACTAGTATTTCCTGAGGATGCTGCTTTCTGTGCCTTAAAAAATTATATACTAAGAAAAACAGTAAAAAGAAGTTAATGTATGCTGTTAGAGCAAAACAGCTTATAAGCTTATATATTGAATTAGTGATCTGGAAAAAAATAATGCAGTAGCTGAAATAAACTATTTTCTTTTTAAACCATAGGAATTTTCCTTAGAGAAAATAATGCATGCCATGATGGAAACCTGGGATACAATTTCTTTTAATACAAATGTGTATCGTGAGAGTGGTATTCATATTCTGTCTGCGGTGGATGAGATTCAGTCTGTTCTTGATGATCAGATTATAAAAACTCAGACAATGAGAGGATCACCTTTCATTAAACCGTTTGACAAAGAAATCAGGGTATGACAAGTACTTGTTTTTTTTCTAAAGCACTTCTACTCGCAGGATTACTATAATGCAAGAATATGCCAATTGTATTACAGCTTTATTGTTCGACTCGTTAATGAAATGCTTTCATTGATTTTTTTTTTTTTTCCCAGCAAGATTCTTTTGAGTTCATTGAAGTCCTACTTGCATTATTTCTGTGTTGGAATTCCCTTTTCTGTTTAGATTCAAGTGCAACCAAGAGAATATGATTATTTTCTTGCATATTTTGCAAAATCACTATTTCTGTTAGTTTCTGTCCCTGTTTCCTAATAACTAGAAATTATGTTTTTATTCTTGTTAATAAGACAATTTTTTGATTTAATCCTTGAACATTAGATTTTGAGCTACGGTGTTTTCATCTGAGCAAGGAAACTTCCTGAGGGCTGCATGAAGCTGTTTTTCAATAAGGCCTAAGAACAACTACAGAATTGCTTTACACTTTTGTTTTTTCAGGGCTAGAGTAGTCTTTGTGATGCTAACACCAGGACTATTGACAGGAGAGAAGCAGATTACTCTCTCTAGTTCTTTTCTGGTCTATGTAGGAAATTTTCAAGTTCAAGCAGGTTCAGTGAACTCAGGTGGTATTTACCCTTTACAGGTAGCCTCTCCAGCCTCATTCACAGGTATCTATTATTGTCCAATTTAGGGACAAGATACTAGGCTGGCTGTTTCTTTCCTGTGACCTAGTGTGATCTTCCCGGTATTCTTGTGTTCCTACTGTAATCAGCTACCCACCAAGATGATCTTGTGGTGGGAAGGTGAAAGAGAATTTGTCACTGGTATCTCCTTGAGTATTATTACTTAACAACTAAGTTGTTAAAATATCATGTCATTGAAGGGATAACTGCATTTGGAAATTTCATTTCCAGGTAAGTTAATCTTTCTGAACTCCTTTGGCCATCTGTATAGGCAAAAGAACCTAAATACTTTTTTTAATATATATATATATATATATACACACACCTA